AGTCCATCGATGCTGCCACTTGGCCAATCCATCTCATTGAGGATCTTCCTCTTTTTCTCTGACCCTAACCCAAACCCTGCCCCACTAAGAGCCATTTAAGCAGTTCCCACCCAGATGTCCTTTGAGAACTAGAGTCCCTGCCCACAGCACCCATGATACTGTCCACATAGAATGGGTGCTGAAGAGACAAGAGCAAGACTTCCCCAATATCTAAAATCAATTTGTACAGGATAACATAGTTTCAAGAAAAATCACTATATTTCAAAAAACAAAAAGATGTTGTGAGAAGAGGGGCATTGTTTTTATGCTTTTGCCTCGTTGTTGTTGTTGTTAAGTGCTGTCGACTTGGTTCTGATGCATAGCCACCCTGTGCAGGGTTTCCAAGGATGTAAATCTTTACGGAAGCAGAAAGCCTCATCTTTCTCCCATGGAGCGGCTGGTAGTTTCAAACTGCTGACCTTCAGGTTCACAGCCCGATTCGTAACCACTATGCTACCAGAGCTCTTTACATCGGGTTTAATAGAAGGTAGCTGAACTCTCTTATCAGCTTTGGCATGTAATCTATTAGGACATCATATGTTATGCTGCCTCTGGAAAATCCTACTGTACACTTCTGAGAAAAATAGGTGAATGAACTGTTAATAATAGTATGAATAATAATAATGAACCAACACTTATCTGTATGTGATGGCTTGTGTATTGTAACAACACTGGAAATGATGTCACTGGTCTTTCAGATACCAGCAGAGTGGACAGATTTCAGCAGAGTTTCTAGACTAAGACTTTGAAGAAAGGGCTGGCAATGAAAACCCTAAGGGTCACAACAACACATTATCCAATACAGTGCTGAAGGATGAGCCCCCTAGGTTGGAAGGCACTCAAAATATGAAGGGGCTCAAAAAGTTCGTGGAAAAATTCCATTGTCTTTCTATTCCATTTTCCACAAACTTTTTAAATCCCCCTGTTTCACAAGGGCCACAGCAATGGCTTCAAAATGACACAGGACCAGGGAACATTTCATTTTGTTGTCCACAATTCATAACCACTAAGCTACCAGAGCTCCTTGGTGTGGTGGTAGTAAATGCCTTCAAATCGCTTCTGTCCCATTGTTGTTGTTGTTGTTGTCAGGTGTGGAACCGACTCATAGCAACCCCATGCACAGCAGAACAAAACAATGTCCGATCCTCGGCCATCCTCACTACCGCTGCCACACTTGACGCCATCAATGATGCCACCTCGCTGGGGGTCTTCCTCTTTTTCTCTGACCCTCCACCTTACCCAGCATGACATCCTTCTCCAGTGACTGTTCCTTCCTGACAACATGTCCAAAGTATGAGACACAAAGTTTAGCCATCTTGGCCTCCTAGGAGCACTCTGGCTGCACTTCTTCCAAAACAGATCTATTGGCTCTTTTGGCAGTCCATGGCACTTTCAGTATTCTCCTCTAACACCACAACTCAAAGGCATCAATTCTTCTACGATCTTCCTTATTCACTATCCA